GCGAGATGCGAGATGGGCGAGATCCGAGCAGAAGAGGAGCGGGGGTGGTGCATCTTTCCCCCTGCAGCCCCTCTCCCCCCCTGCCCCTTCCCCTCTCGCTCTCTGTCCCCTCCCCAACTCCAGGGTTGGGAGAGGCGGAGATGTAGAGGCAGCCCCGGGTGGGAGAGGCAGCTGGGCGGAGTGGGCCAAAGCGCCTGCTGGTAGTTTTTGTACTCGATGAGCTTCTCGGTGCCGCGGTGCAGCAGCCCGATGTGCGGGTCCGCGCGAGCGACCAGCTCGCCCTGCAGCTCCAGCACCAGCCGCAGCACGCCGTGCGCCGCCGGGTGCTGCGGCCCAAAGTTGAGCGTGAAGTTCTTTATCGACGTGTCCTCGGTGCTGATGAGCTCGCGGCCCATCGTCGCGTCCTTGCGGGTCGCGAGCGCAGCAGCGTAGGAGGTCGCGGAGATCTCGTTCGAGAGCGGCCGCCGCGAGCTGCGGAGCACCCCGGGCATCCGAACCGCCGCCCGTGCGCGTGTTCGCCACATGATCGCTTCAACTGCGAGCGCGCACGGCGTGCGCTGAGTGCGGCGCGCTGCCATGGCAGCGCCCGGGCGGGGGCCGGGGCGGTGGGGGTCGGACCTCTCCGGCGACGGCGGCGACGAGGGAGAGCTGTGTGAGTCGGCGAAGAGGACAGAGAGAGCGCCTCCAGGGGCGATCGCTGATAAAGAGAAAATCGACAGCTTGCACTCCAAGTGCTCCTCCAAGAGCGTGTCAAGATTGGCTAACGGACTAAGCTCTAAGGGAGAGGAAGAAACCCACACGGCGTAGGTTCCCACTGGAGTGGACTCGCGGCTCGGACGCCCACACTTCTCCTCCTCCTCCCACACGGGGCTCGCAGCCCTTCCGCCTCGTCCTCGGCTCCCACCGACATTCATTCCGTGTCGTCCATGTCCGTCGCCGGATCCGCGAAGAAGACCGACTGGCATACCTCACACGTGCCTATAGCGAGGACCCCTGTGCTACAGGAGAGAGACACGTTTGCAGAGAGAGAGGCCCGAGAGAGCAAGCGGCGCCTGTGATGACCCACTCCTTGAGGCTCAGAAAGTTGCTCCGGTCGAAGCGGCGCAAGTCGCACACGTTGTCGCCGTGACAGCACGGCCGCATGTGAGAGATCGTCTGCACCCAGCTCGATTGCTCCTCGCGCTCGCGAATCTCGTCCCCGCACCGCGTGGGCGGCGGCACAAGCCCTGCTTCCACGTGGCTGCGCACGTAGCCGACGCGGCATCGCATGTCGGTCCGCATCGACCGCTCCGCCGGGTACTCGGCGAGAAGAGCCCACAGCGTTCGCAGCACGGCCTCGGTATCCTCGCTGGCGGGCCGCGGCGCGCGCACGGGGCGGCCTGGATGCGCCAGGTTGGTCGAGAGGACTCGAAAGGGCTCGCCGCCATTCACGCTGACGTGCAGCCGGTATCTGCCGGGCTCGCGATCCCGGCCGACTACGCGCGCGCTCTGGCCGTTGAGATGGCGACCGCGCGTGCTGGTGAGATGGCGGAGGACGAGCTCTTGCCCGACGAAGTGCGTGTCAAGGTGCTGCCGGATCATCCTCTCCTCTCCCGGCCGGAGCGGGCTTCCCTCGACGACCTCGACGGGCTGCGCGATGGCAACCGGCTCGCCGCGCGAGTCCTCGGCCTGGAGGACGACGCCCTCGGCGACGGGGCTGCCGACGGCGACGCCCGTGCCCCCACCAGCCTGTGGTGAATCAGCCTGTGGTGGTGGCGCGCCAGTGAACAGGCGGCGCGGCTGTACGGTTGTCCGCCCAGCAAGTGATGCGGTCGGAGCACGCGCGCCAGTCGCCGGAGGCGAGTCGGCCATGGCAGCGTGGACGCGCCGCTCCCAGGGAATTCTGCTGAACAGCTCTCCGGGTGGCAGGTTCCAGCTAGCCGGCATGTCTACCTCCTCGCCCAGCAAACGCAGCGTGTAGTACGAGTGGGTGGCCGCCGCGCCCGGCCGCGAGCTCAGACTGCGGACCGTGTCCTCGAAGAACTCGGGCAGCCGGCCTGCCGCGAGGGCCGCCTTTACGCTCCCCACTGCCACCTTGTCGCGGAGGTACAGAGTCTTCCATGCGTTGAAAACGCACTTGCCGACCCCATCATCCATGCTCACGCCAAAGATGCGCTCCATGTTTTCCGGCGGGTATGTGTCGTCGGAGAAGGCGCAGCGGAAGAAGGCGGTCACAGCGAGATCACGCATCTCTGCCGCTTGGGTGCGAGCCATTGCGACGACAGTTGCTTGCGGCTCGGCCCAGGAACTAGCCGGGGCAGTCGGAGAAGGGGCAACTCCGTGCACTGACGGTCGGCCGTCAGAAAACACGCCTCCGTGGACCGGGTTACACCAATCCTCGCTACCCAACGTGTGAGTGAGTATTGTGAGTGAGTATTCTTGATACGAAACCACGACGACACACACCAGTCGACTCGCATCGGTTGCCTCCATGAACGGCGGAGCTATTCAAATGACGTGTGAGTGTTAGAGTTGTTTGGTATTGTTAAGGTATTGCTAAAAGTCTCTCTCTAAAAAAGAATTTCACGGTTAGCAAACAGGCGGCGACAGACGGCGCCAGACTGCGCCAGACTGCTTCAGACTGCCTAGACTGTGAATAGCCAGCTGGCGAGTACAGACCACGCCTCAACACTTTTTCACAGGGCTCAGGGGGGGATCCGTCTGGAAAAAGGATTTTCTCGCATGCCCGAAGCCCCCGGCGAGGGGATGTGCTGTGAATAGTCTGTGCTTGTGCGTCTTGGGTCCGGGCTTGTGTTTTTCTGTGTGAATAGCAGTGCTCGATTGGTCGAGAAGACCATACCATACCCCGGAAAAAGTTGGAACCCAGGACTGCCAAAGGGCCCTCTGATTGCTCAAACTGCAAGTGGGAACAACCCTCCCCTCCGACGCGCATGAGTCCGTTGTCCTTCCGCCACCACGCCGAGACTAGCGGGCTGCACCCAGACAGGTCGCTCTGTCCCTACTGCGGCGTGAAGAAGCGCGGCCACGTTTGCCGCTGGGCTTGGCCGAGAAAAAGTACTGCTCGGAGAGCTCGGAGCGCAGCCACACAGCGGCAGCGGCAGCGGCCGCATCCAGCTCTCCGAGCTTGTGCCTCCTGTTCCTGAGGTTGCCGAGCCCGCGCCTGCGCCGCGGGTCGAAGTTGGCTGGCTCAGCGAGGGGCCTCATGTCGGCGAGCGGGTGCTGCGACGCCTGAAGGGACACGGCTACGTGCACTATGATTTTTGCACCGTGGTCGTTCACACCGTCTCCCCAACTATCACACTCACACTGACAAGTGTGGCTGTGGGGAGGCAAGGCACTGTGAATCGCCTTATCTCTCACAACGTCGTAGCGGATTGAAATTTTTGTTGTAAAATGAATTCACGGGAGGATCGTGCCCTCAACCGGCCCTGCTCGGCCAACGGAGGATCGCTCTCGGCTACGAGTAGCACGTTCTCGGCGGCGGCTCCTCCTCCTCCTCGACGCCTCCTCCCCGCCGGATAGCGAGTTTGTCGGCTCGGAGCCGGCCGGCGTCTCTCAAGGCTTCATATTGGTCCAGAGAGTGCCTCCCGGTGTTGTGTAGAATTCTTTCTTACGAGTTCGCTCGCGAGCAACAGCAAGGGCAAGGATGGAGAGGGTGAAATTCGGCTCGGCTGGAAGGGGGCCTATGTGCGCTTTGGCAACACGGAGACCGGGCTGCTCAAGTTGGTCAAAGGGCGCGGCAAGTGGTCTCCGTCGGAAGCGACGGCAGCGGCGGTGGCGGGGGAGGAGGAGGAGGCCGAGGAGGAGGGGGAGGAGGGGGAGGAGGAGGATGCCCCCAAGGGAAAGCTCAAGGAGCAGCCTGGCGATTACCCCTTTGCGCGGCAGCAGGATTGCGATCTACGTTTGTTTGATTTTGAGGCTTTCGGAGGCTTTGGAAAGGAGGTTCGCAGCACCCTGAGGGAGGCGGCGAACCAGCTGAGCAACAAACTTTCGCACGCTCAGCACCTGGACGAGGTCACATGGACCACCAAGAACTGGCACGGGCTGCAGATGCAGCGCTTGTCTGTCGTCCTCCACACCGCCGTGGCGTGGCAGACGGTGAACGAGCTAGCGTGCGGGGAGAGCGGCATTGTGCATGGTGCGGAGTGCATTGCCGTTCTTAACGGAGTCGCTTAGGCGGCTCCGGTGGTGAGCCTGTGTGTGTGCCAGTCCGCGCCAGTCTGCGCCCTTGTCGTGCCAGTGTGCTGTGAGAGAGGCTTGTATCTTAAAATTCTTAGGAAAGAAACCGGGGGGGGGGGGGCCTGGTGTATATGGACACCCGCGCGCTGCTGGCGCTGGCGGCGGATGGCGCCGCGACGCACCTGCAGTCCGTCTACGCAGCCGACGCGCGATCGGTGGCTCCGACGGCCGCGGCGCTAGACGCCCTGCGCGGGCTGAGCGCCGCGCTACCAGAGGACGGGCGCCCCGCTGCCGACGTGACTGAGGAACTGGCGCGCGTCGGCAGCGCTGCGTCGCACGCGTCGCCTGGGGCACGGTACTTCGGCTTCGTCACGGGCGGCACGCTGCCGGCGGCGCTGGCGGCGGACTGGCTCGTGAGCGCCTTCGACCAGAACGCGTGGTGCCCGCCCACCTCACCCTGCGCCACTCACTTTGAGGCGCTGGCGCTGGCGTGGCTGCTCCAGCTACTGCGACTGCCGTCTGAAGCCAGCGCGGCGCTATGCAGCGGCTGCACGGCGGCGAATGTCATTGCGCTAGCCGCAGGGCGCGACGCCGTGCTGCAGGCTGTTAATTAACAGCGCCTTAATTAACAGCGCCTTAATTAACAGGGCGCGACGCCGTGCTGCAGGCTGTGGGCTGGGACGCGGCGGCGGACGGGCTGGTCGGCGCGCCGCCCATCGCGGTGTACGTGGGTGAGGAGTGCCACGGCTCGGTGCTCAAGGCGCTCGGCGTGGTTGGGCTCGGTCGCGGCGCCAAGGGGAAGCGCGTGCGCCTAGAAGCGGAGTTGGAAGCGGAGTTCATGTATTCCAACCAGCGCTCGGGGGGACACGTGTCCAGCTGTATCGGCCGCACTCATTGTCCTCGTGGCCCCACGTCTTCACACACCGCTCTGAATATACACCGCACACATAACTTCATGACGACATTCAACAGTTTCCCCCTTTCACACTTCGCGCCATGAACAACCAAATGAAACGAACTACCGCATTTCGCACTCTGCACAGTACCGTCTCCACGTGCGCCAGCCGGCTTCAACTAGCACCTAATCAGCTGTTAATTAAGGCGCTGTAGGCACGTGCGCCGGCTGGCCGTCGATGGGCGCGGCGCAGTGCTGGCGTCGGCGCTGGCGGGCGTTGCTCCGCCGACAGCGCCCGCCCTCGTGGCGCTGCAGGCCGGGCATGTCAACACGGGTGCCTTCGACGAGCTCGAGGCGGCGGTTGGCTTTAGTTACTAGGTAACATCTGTTCACTTGCTGTGAATGAAGGCGCCTTCGACGAGCTCGAGGCGGTGATCGCGTGGGCCCGGTCCGGCGCCACAGGCGGACGCGGCGTGTGGGTGCGCACCGACCGAACGTCAATCTCTTACCGGAGTCGTAGACCGCTAACTCCAACCCTAACCCCAACCCCAACCCTAACCCTAACCCTAACCCTAACCCAACCCAGCTGCGGCGGCTCTAACAGCGCTCACACTACACTAGCCCGATCACGGGCGCCTCGGCCAGGGCGTGAACGGCGTCTCTTCACACCGCCCGCGCTGCGAGCAGGTGCACATTGACGGCGCCTTCGGGCTCTGGGCGGCCGCGTCGGCGTCGCCGGAGCGGCGGGCGCTCGTCGCGGGCGCGGCGGACGCCGACTCGTGGGCCACCGGCCCTAGAAGCGGAATATCTCCCCACATCTCCCCGTATCTCCCATATCTCGGGCCCTGGGAGCGGGATGCGCATCCTACTACTCCAGCCAGCGCTCGAGAGCTCGAGAGGGCACGTGCTCCGCTGCACTCCGCCGTCTTCCGCTGTATTCGCTGTACTCTTGCCGCTAGCCTCACGCGGTGCTCGGATGGCACACTGCACGTGACCGTCTTCCCGTCTTGAGGTTGCTGTCTCAACACGCAGGCCACAGACTTGCACAAGATGCTGAACGTGCCGCGTACGGCTCGGCTGCTCGTGACCGCGCGGAGATCACCCGAGATTACCCGAGATGACCCGAGATTAGGCGCCGTACGGCTCGGCTGTCTGTGGCCGCGCGGAGATCACCCGAGATTACCCGAGATGGCCCGAGATTAGGTGCCGTACGACTCGGCGCTCGTGGCCGTGCGCGACGGCCGCTGCTTGCACGGCGCCATGAGCAGCAGCATGCCCTACCTGGCGGCACCGCCGGCGTCGGAGGCGTCCGCAGGAGCAGGCGGTGGGGGTGGTGCGGGGGGTGCGGGTGGTGGGGGTGGTGGGGGCGGTGCGGGCGGCGAGGCGGCCGCGCCGCGGCCGCCGGCGCCGGAGCTGCAAAACTCGCGTCGCGCGCGAGGCATTGTGGCGTGGGCCGCGCTGCAGCAGCTTGGACGGCGCGGCGTGGGCTCCCTAGTCGACGGCTGCTGTGCGCACGCGGCGCTGCTGGCGCGGCTGCTGCAGGAGGGCGGCGCGGAGGCGTGCCCGACAAGAGGGTGCGCGCTCCACGGTGTGAACGGCGTCTCTTCACAGCTCCAGCCGTGAGCAGGTGCTCAACGAGCCGCCGCCCTTCAACCAGGCGCTGATCTCCTTTGGCAGCGACGCGGTCACGGCCGCAGCGGTGGACGCGCTGCAGCGCGGCGGGCGCTGCTGGGCTGGCGCGGCGCCGTATCACGGTCGCGTTGTGATGCGGCTGAGCGTGTCCAGTTGGCGCACGACGGAGGCAGATGTCCGGGAGGCGGCACACGTCATGTTGGAGTGCGCGGCGGCGGCGGCGGCCGCGGAGGCGGCTCAAGAATGATGAAGGAAAGTTTTTTTATTCTGTGGTGACACAACGGGATCGTTTTACCTGAATGGGGGTTGACCCCGGGATCGTATGTGTCCCCCGACAGTATGCAACCGAGTCACCCGCTCGCAGTCACACTAGAGCCGCTTCCCCCTGGATAGTGGATTCCCCCGCTCTGCTGCTGTGTGCGCTCACAGCTCACTGCCCTGGCGCCAACCCCTCAATCTTCTTGGGCAGCAGCTGGTTCGACCAGTCTCCATGTCCGAGACAGCCATGTTCGCCCCACCCCCAGGTAAAGACAGCGCCGTTGGCGGCGATGGCGATGCTGTGGACGTCGGCCGCAGAAACAGCGATCACCCGCTGACCAATGACGTCGATCTTCTTGGGAAGCAGCTGGTTCGACAAGTCTCCGTGGCCTAGGCAGCCGCGATCGCCCGCGCCGCAGGTAAAGGCGGCGCCATCGGCGGTGATTGCAAGGCTGTGGTGCTCGCCAGCAGAAACAGCGACGACGCGCTGCCCAGCAAAGGCCTCGATCTTCTTTGGCAGCATCTGCTGTTGCCAATCGCCGTGGCCCAGCTTGCCTAGGTATCCAAAGCCCCAGCTCCAGACAGCGCCGTCGGCGGTGAGGGCGAGGTTGTGGACCTCTCCAGCCGACATAGCGACGACGCGCCGGCCAGCAAAGGCCTCGACCTTCTTCGGCAGCAGCTGGTTTTGCGGGCTGCCGTGGCCCAACTGGCCTTCCCGTCCATAGCCCCAGCTCCAGACGGCGCCATCGGCGGTGATGGCGAGGCTATGCAGGCCTCCCGCCGAGACAGCGACGACGCGCCGGCCAGCAAAGGCCTCGATCTTCTTTGGCTCCCGCTGCTCCTCCGGGTCGCCGTGGCCCAACCGGCCGTCACCTCCCCGGCCCCAGCTCCAGACGGCGCCGTCGGCGGTGAGGGCGAGGTTGTGCGCGTTTCCAGCTGCCACACTCACGGCGCGTTCGCCTCCCAGCGTCGACGGGAGGCGGGTCGGCGTGCTGAGCCGCGTCACACCCTCGCCGTGCCCGAGAAGCCCTGCAGCGAAACCCGACGCCGAGCCGCACGACGAGAGCCGCCCCTCGCCGTCGATGAAGAGGCTGTGAAAGCCGCCTGCTGCAGCCCTCGCCGGCGGGTTGGACTCGCGCAACAAGGCCCAAACGCACAGCCACCGCACGGCGCAGCTCTCGCCCTCTGGCTGCGCCGGCAGCTCGAAGCCGCTCTTGCGCCCGCAAGCGAATGCCCTCCACCGCAAGCGAGCCGTGGAAAAGGAGCGACACGGCCGCGACGCGAGCGATGTCGGCGGGGTCGCAGCGAGAGAGGGCGCGCAAGAGGAGGTCCGTGGGGAGGTCGAGGAGGCGGGCGGGCGGCGGCGTGTCTCGCGAGGGCGCGGTGGTGGCGGCGGGCTGCAAGCAGCGCGGCGACTCGGACATGTCGCGAAGAAAAGAATTTTACAAGCCAGAAAATTCCACGGGCTCCACTCACACACGCGGTGCGCCTCTGTGTTCGTGCGTCGCCCATCTCTCCTGGAGATGCCTGCTCTATTTATTTAATACACGCGGTGCGCGTTAGCGTGGTGGGAGAGAGAGTCTCACAACACTAGCCTCAAAACTGGCCCCCGAGTTCGTTTTAAAAATAAACTGAAAGAAAGAAAGAAAGAAAACAGACAACCCAAACGAGGGATGGGGGAGGAGGACAGGGTCCACACCTGGCACGAGCAGGATTTTGGAAGGACGATCAGGGCACAGGGGCACAGGTGGGCTCTCCTGCTCCTGACAAGGGACACGACAGGCTCGCAGCGCGGTGCACGGTGGAATCCCAACTCGGAATGTGAGAGAGAGATTTTTAGCAATACCAAACAACTCTAATGTAATGTGAGTGAGTATCACACACACACACAGACCGAGTGGGGTTGATTTTTCTTCTTCTTCTGGAACCGCTCTCTACCGCTATACCATAGGGAGGGTGGTACCTTTTGTGAAACTGAAACGCGGAACGCGATCTGTCTCGCGTTCCTCAACGCTTGCGATTCAGCTGTCGCGCCGCTGGATGATCTTGCTCAGCTCGCCGAGCTCGACCTGAACGGTCAGCGGCGCGACCGCTGAATCGCAGCCGTTCGTTCGTGCTGCACGCATCGATCAGGGGGTTGGAACCTGGGCATCCCACCCGCGCCGAAGGGAGTGTTGAGCCGATTCTGTGATTGCGGCTGCGTGGTTGGTCGGCGGCCGTCGCGTTCGGTCGTCCCGTGCCGGCCTCGGCGTCGCGGCCCTCGCACACCCGGGGTTCGTCCGAATTCGAATCGCCGTTGTGGAGTACGGGCGCGGCAAAGTCGGCGCCTCGACAGCGCCTCGACGGCGGCCGCAAAAGCCGTCTCCTGCACGTCGCCGCGCGGCCTCGAGGCGCCGCGAGCGTGCGCTGAGGTCAGCACGACTCGCTCCGGCCCGAGACGGCCGACGCGCGCGCTCTCGCTCCCACCTCTCCATCCCGACGCTCCGCGCTCGCTGTGTCGCCCGCGATCGCGGCATAACCACCGAGCCGCAGCGCGGCGCTCGGCCCGCGCCGCCGTCTCACGAGCTCGTCTCTCGCCCGCCGCGCAGGCGAAAACCAACTCCGTCCTCAAGGGCAAGCTCGAACGACTCCCGTCACTGTACCCCTCGTGCCACGCTGCAGCCGCCGCTCTCGTCTCTCCTCTGTCGCTTCGCCGCGGTCGCGGCCGCACGGAGGTGCCACGGGCCGTGCGAGTGATACTCCGCTGCGTGCTGTCCGGCTCCATATACTGCGACTGGTGCGCCGCGGATGTTTGAGAGTGCGGTTTAAAAAGGTCCTGCCCCGCGCCTCCGCGGCACAGAGCTCAGAGGCACTGGAGGCAAACTGCGGGCGAATAAATATTTTTGAAGGGATGAACGCGAGCTCGCGGGGTCCACACGAAAGCACCGCTTGGCGGTGTCAGAACCGCCCTCTTGGACCCTGGTGGGCCGAATCTGCGCCCTCTGGGCCCCGGCGGCGGTCCCGGAGAGGGCCAGCACGCGGGCTCCGCCGACGATCTCGCAACGCGGGTCGCGCCGCGCGCCTCCCGAACGAAGCGTGTTGGTGCGCGATGGCGATCCTCGCCTGCGGGGAGCGGAGCACACGCGTCGGATGGCGAGGGCAGCACAAATATTGCACTCACGTCCCAGTATGGCAGCAGCCGGACGGGTTGGGTGGCGTGAGGACAGGGGGTGGTGAGGATGATTCCACAGATCTCGCTGAAAATGGCCGTGTCCTTCCCGGGGGAGGCAGGCGAGCGCACACCTCGCGTCCGAGCGCGAGTCGACGAGTGGTCGCCGAGAGATCGCCGAACCACGTTTCGAGTGCGCGCGCCGCGCACACAGCACAGCTGCGGGTTGTAACTCGACTGCCGATCGCGCGCGCGGGATTTGAATGGAGCTCGCTGGCGCCAGTGCACGGCAGCACCGCCTAGTATCTCGGCCGGAACGAACGAGCAGTCCCCAATCGACACGTTGAGGACGCTGGGCTGGTTCTGTTGAACTGCCACAGCGGGCGGAGGCGCGGGTGCCAGAGGAGGGTGACGGCCGGCGGCGGCGTACGGCGGCGAGTCGGAGGCGAGGGGGTGGCCCTGCCGCGCGACACCGGCGCCCCGTCGGGACCCACGCTGGAGCAGCTTCGGCGTCTGGCGGGGCTGCTGCGGCGGGCGGGACTGCGGCGGCGTACTGGGGCGCGAAGCGGCAAGGTTGGGCGGCGGCGACGGCGCGGCCGGCGATCGGCTCGAGGCGGTCGATCTGCCCGGTGACTGGGTCTCCTCTCCGCTACCCGCGGCCGGGGCGAGCCCGCCCTGGGGGCCCGCGCGCGCGCCCGCTGTCGTCGCCATTTTCTGTCGATTGCGGCGGCGCCGTACGCCTCAACGAGCGGGTCGCCGAGCGCGCCGCGCGGCTCTGGGCGTGCCGCGTCGACCCTCTCGAGCGATCGGGCCGCCTCCGGGCGCGGCGCGTCGAACGGCGCGGCCGTCAGCGAGGAATCGGCTCAACACTCCAGGGCTGGGATTCGGCGCGAGTGGCCCTAACAGCTCTCTCCTCGTCGGCCCCGCCTGGCTCGCGGCGCGGAGAGAACCCGGCGCCCGTCCGCGGCTCGCCTGAAGGCCCGTCCGCAAGCCCCTCGGAGCCCCCAAGGTGCGCCCGTTTGCCCCGCGCGCCGCCCGCGCCGCGCCTCCGTTTCGAGGAGGCCGTTCCCGGCAGATGCGCTTCGGGTGGGACGGGTTTTACTGTGGGTCGCATCCCGGCCCAGGGGCGGGACCAAAGCTCCGCGATAGGGTGACGGAGCTCCCCGCCCGGCGGCACACTGCCCGCTCACCGCTCGCTCCGCCCGTGCTCGCAGGCCGAGCGCCATGCCAGGAGGAGCGACCCGACCAAGAAGGCCCAGGAGGTCCACGCAGCCCTCCTGCTTGTGGCGTCGGCCTACTCGATGCGGGCACCTCGGGAGAAGCCGTTCCTGCCCGGCCTCAATCACCCCTCGAAGCAGCTGCGGCCGCGATTTCATCTGGTGACCACCCCACCCCGGCAGGCGCACGTTGAAGCGAGGCCGTCCCGCAGCGCTTCCGAGACGGGGCTGTTCGCGCGGAGCGTCACGCCGCAGGCGTCCGCCGGAGGCCCGCCGGAGGCTGAATGCGGCGGCCACGTCAGTCTTTTGCCCGCGAGGAGCCTGGCCGTCTCTTCCCAGCCGCTTTGCACGCCCCCAACATCCCCTGACAGCAGCAGCGCCTCACGGCGTGGGCTGCGAGGTCACTCGGGGTGACCCAGGGGGCGGCGGGGAAGCACTCTTCCGCCGGAGTAGCGGGCGGTCTTTCCGCTACTCGCTCGTACTTGAGGTGCATCCACGCCCGCCCACCACCTTCCCGGCAGCCCCACCCGCTCGGTGACGTCCTCACTTCCCCCCCCCCCCCTTCAGGCGAGGCCCTGACCACCAAACTCGCGCTCTGCGCTCCGGGAACGGGCAGCAGCGCGACGCTCTTCGAGAGCGAGCGGCGGCGGCGGCTCAGCACGAACCATGTCAGCGCAGGGCGGCGCTATAGCTGCGTGGCGGGCCCCCACCACCGTCAGGGCTCGCGTCTCCCTGCCAGCGCGGGAGCTGAGGGGAGCGCAGTGTCTGTGTCTGTGTCTGTGTCGTGTGTGAAAAAAAACATTAGATTCTGCATTCTGAGAACTCTCTCTTTGGGTCTGAGACCGTCTCTCGCACCCCCCAAAAAATTTTGCGAGACGCCAAAGCCGAAACGCGAAAGCGAAAGCCTCTCGCCGCACTCGCGCCGCTCCCACATCGGTCATCGCTGCAGAATTCGGACGTTTGCTGCTAAAACAGCTAAAACGCACCGATAAAAAAGACTTTGGCGCGAGCCAACGCAGCCGAGACGCGAGAGATAAAATCTCATCAAGTGCCAGCCCGAGCAGGCCGCAGCGCGAACTCGCCGTACTGAGCACCGCAGCGCGAACTCGCTCCTGTTCGCTGCGCAGCCCTAGCTGCGCTCCATTTTTTGGCTCTGGCCGCGACCGACCCAGGCCCGGCTCCAGCCGCGGCCACGTCCGAGCCGGCGGCGGCCACGCAGCAGGGCGCGCCACCGCACATGCCACTCGCCGCAGCGGGCGGTGTCGCCGGCGGCGACGCACCGGATGCTGCCGGCATCGAGACACGGCGGAGCTGGTTGCCGAGCAGGAGGACGGCTCGGCACGGCGCCGGTGCACGGGACCGTCGCCGTGTACGCCAGTGTCGTGGAGGGTATGATTATCCGGTAGGAGCCTGAGCGGGACATGGTGTGCGTTGGTGTGAGTGTGCGCCGTGGGCGAGACGCGATCGCGCGTTAGCGCGACATTGGACGGGCTCCGCCTCGAGAGGGCGTCTCGCGTGCGCGGTGCCGCTTGGGCGGGGCGGGAGAGCAGAGGCACGGGAGAGGCGGGCGGGAGGCGGGCGGGAGGCGGGCGGGAGGCAGAGGCGGCGAGAAGGGCGGTGGCGACGGCTCGGCGAGGGCAGAGGCGGCGTGGCGGCGCGTCGGCGGCGGTGAGAGCGGAGGGGAGGGCTGTGGGAGGCTGGCGGGCGGGCCATGCGTTTGGCGAGGCGCACCGTCGCTGAGGAGTCATGGCCGATATCCGGAGCCGCGTTGAGGAGAGCGCGTCGGTCACACCGGCCGGCGAGCACCCTTGGGCCACCCCATGTCCATGTACAGCGTGCTAGGCCTGAAGCCGCCGTCGCCGACCAGCTCCGGGACGCAGGGCGGCACGCGGTGCAGCGTGAACGCGTCGATAATGGACACCATCACCGCGTGCAGCAGCTGGTCGAGCGTTCCGTCGAGCGCTTGGGTGGCATCCTGCGGCGGAGGCGGAGAAGGCTCTGCAACGGGCGGAGGGGCTCGAGGAGGGGGAGACTAGGTCGCAGCCAAGCGGGGTCGATGCGCCCGCGTCGGGGGTCGATACACCGCCTCACGCGAGTCGCAGCGCGCGCAGAGCGGCGCAGCGCGCGAGGCGGCGCAGGAGTACGCGGGCGCGGCGGGCGGCGCGGAGCGCGGGGCGGGAGGGCGCGCGCCTGCTCGAGGGGCAGCCACCCCCAGATCGCTTCGCCGAGCGAGGTGAGTCGCGGCGTCGGAGGCACAGAGCGAGACCAGCGCTGATAAGACGCACGTCCAGGCTCCAACCCCCTGGCATCGATCGTTGCACTTTAAAATTACCCCGTCCCTACCCGGGAAAAAACTTGGAAGTTGGAACCCAGGACTGCCAAAGGGAGGATACCAGGGTAGCCCTGACCACCCAAGACTGCTTTCAGAGCTTACGCCAATTTCCGCTCAACCTGCGCAATCGTGATACCCGAGGAGTCTGGAGCTTCAGCTGGCGAATCATGCCGCTCTCGGCACAGAAGCAGCGCGAGCGCCGCGCCGCGCAGCGCGCTGCCGAGGCTCAGGACGCGGCTCGCGGGCAGCGCAACCGCCCGGCGCCGAGCCGGTGCTAGGCCGCCTCCGCTGCGCCTGTTTCCTTGCGCGCCGCTGGACGTCGGCCGAGAAGACCGCTTCCCTCTGGGGACCCGACTCCGCGAAGATCGCGCGCGCGTCGTGAGTGGCGGCGCGCGCGCGATCTCCGTTCCCGGGCACGCCGGTCGCAGTGGCATGGGCTCCCAGGCTCAAAAGCGCTCCCGTCAACAGCGAGCGAGCGCCGCCGCTGCTCCTCCTCCCGCCGCCGCTCACCGAGACTCGGTGCCGCCGTTCTCGCCGCCGCCGCCGCCGCCGCCGCCGCCGCCGCCGCCGCCGCCTCGCGCCTCGCCTCCGTCACCGCCGCCCTCCATCTCGCAGCGGCGCGTCCCTCGGGAGGGGCTTCTCCTGCGGAGTCGTGCGTGCGCAGGGCTCCTCTTTGCTTTCTTCTACTCCCTACTATCATCTCGTTCCCGTCCTACCAGAGAACTCTATAATATGGCGCGGGCGCCTCGCTCACCGGCGCCTCGCCGCCGCCCCCCCCCCTTCTCGCGCCGCTCCGCTCGTGGCCGCCGCCTCCCCTGTCAATCCCGCCGCCTCCCCTGTCATCCCGCCGCCCGCACCACCGCCGCCACCGCCTCGCGCCTCGCCGCCGCCGCCACCGACCGCCCCTCCCCTGCGCCGCTGAGCGCGGTGCAGGGGGCGAGCCCCCGCTGCGCAGCCTCACCGCAGTGCACTGCGCTCTCCACGCCCCTGACGATTAGTGAGGAGGTGGTGTTGCACAGCATGGAGCTCGGCGAGCGTTTAGCGAGCCCCTCAGCTAGAGTGAAATGCTCCCGCGCGAGTATGTGTTTGCCGCAGGCTGGCCAGATCGGACGCGCGTGGAGGGAGTCTAGGATGGGGAGAGAGGGAGGGGTAGAGGATTGGTTGGTGAACAGTCTGTCTGTGTCTAGGTTAGAGAGCAAAAGGGATAGAGGGAAGAAGGGAGGGAGGGGCGTTTCGTTCTAAATTGATGAGAGGACTAGCACTTCACCGCCCGCACACACTCTGCCGCCCATCCCTCCAAACGGGCTTCTTGGGTGGGCTCCGGCTCAGGTCAGATGGGAACGAGCGCTTCATCCTCGATCGATGCTCGTAGAGATTGCGATTTAGGATGGAGATCTTGTGTATTTTGAGCTAAGAATCGTCAAAATTTTCTTCGCGGGGCTCTGCCCCGCACCCCGCTGGGGCTCCCGCCCCAGACCCCGGCTGGGGCTCCCGCCCCAGACCCCGTTTACACCCGAGCTATGCCCCACGACCTGAGCCGGAGCCGTGGAAAGAGATGCCACCGGCGGTTTTTCCGCTTACTCAAAACGGTCTGGTGACTGCTCAGACTTTAAAGATGCCCTGCAAGTATAAGCGCGTTTGCTATTCGAAATACCTGCGTTTCCTGTACAGGAAGCGACAGCCTCCAGACACACACCTCATACACACATATGGAGCCCCTCTCTCGCCCCCCTGGCGGCGGCAGTGGCCATGGCGACGCTGACGGCGGTGGCACTCGTGGGACGTGGCGGTGACACTCGTGGCCGCGGCGGCGCCTGGGCAGCAGAGAGCTGTCGCTGCAGTGCTGGCGGCAGCTGGCGGCGGCGGCTGGATGCGGCGGCTGGCGGCGGCATTGCTGGCGGCGGCCACGCGGGGGAGGCGTTGCTGTGGCGGCGATGCAGCGCTGTCCTCGCGGCTGACGTGCGCCCGGGATAGCAAGCACTGGCAGTCTGCCGGCGCGGCCGGCGCATTCGAATGCGCCCGCCGCGCCGGCAGACTGTTGGATGGCCACAGTCGCGAAAGTGGGTGAAGTCCGTGCGGCGCCGTGGCAGCGGTGGCCAGGCGGCCCCTCTCGGTGCGCCACCGCGACCGCGTTGCGCTCTCGCGCCTCGCCATGCTGCAGGCTGGACGAGGGACATTTGTCGCGACTTTCAATAGGGAAAACGCAACGCATCTTGAATATGCCTGCAGCGCATCTTTATGTCGGAAAAACCCTCCGACGCGCATGAGTCCGTTGTCCTTCCGCCACCACGCCGAGACTAGCGGGCTGCACCCAGACAGGTCGCTCTGTCCCTACTGCGGCGTGAAGAAGCGCGGCCACGTTTGCCGCTGGGCTTGGCCGAGAAAAAGTACTGCTCGGAGCGCATCTGGAGCGCAGCCACACAGCGGCAGCGGCAGCGGCCGCATCCAGCTCTCCGAGCTTGTGCCTCCTGTTCCCGAGGTTGCCGAGCCCGCGCCTGCGCCGCGGGTCGAAGTTGGCTAGCTCAGCGAGGGGCCTCATGTCGGCGAGCGGGTGCTGCGACGCCTGAAGGGACACGGCTACGTGCATGCGGTGGTGCGCCTATACCTGCCGGCGGGCGAGGCGGAGGACGAGCCAGCGTTTTGGCACATCGAGCATGCGGACGGGGACGAAGAGGATCTGGTGCGATCTACCCACATTTCGCATGCCACCCGCAGCGCCGCTCTCTGCATCGCCTTCTCGGGTCGAACTTGCCGGCGAGCAACCGGCGCTGTCCTCATCCTCCCCTCGCCTACCTTCGCTTAGGAGGAGGAGGAGCTGCTCGAGGCGCTGCGGCGCTTCGCAATCCGTGCGGGCAGGGCCAGGGCGGCGGCGGAGGCGGCGGGTGGACGCGCGTGGGCGGTCGGCGAGGCGGAGGCGGCTGGCGCAGGAGGGCCGGCGCGGGCCGTAGCGGCGGCGGAGGCGGCGGAGGCGGCGGAGGAGGGCGCGGAGGCGGAGCCCGATGCGGCGGCGAAGGCGGGGTCGGAGGCGGCGGCCTCGTCGCCGCCTCCGACCGCACCGCCGACGCCAGGGGGGGCTGCACCCGTCGCCGCAGCCGCGCCGTTCGCGGCGGAGGCGGTCGTGGCGGAGGCGGAGGGGCTGAAGCTGCACCTCTCGAGCAGCAGCAGCAACGGCTACAGGGGCGTGTACGAGGACTCTGGCCGCTTCCGGGCGCAGCACAGTGTGGCCGGAAGGAGGGTCTCCATCGGCTCCTTCGCCACGGCGGTGGAGGCGGCGGTGGCGTACGCGCGGGCGGTCGGTGAGTACCAGCCTCCGACTGTGGTGGCGGAGGCGGAGGGCTTGCGGTTGCATCTCTCCAGCAACAGTAGCACCGGCTACAAAGGCGTGACTGAGCTCGCCTCTGGCCGCTTCCGAGCGCAGCGCAAGGTGGACGGCAAGGATGTCCACATCGGCTCCTTCGCCACGGTGGTGGAGGCGGCGGTGGCGTACACGCGGGCGGTCGGCGAGGCGGAGGCGGCTGGCGCAGGAGGGCCGGCGCGGGCCGTAGCGGCGGCGGAGGCGGCGGAGGCGGCGGAGGAGGGCGCGGAGGCGGCGGAGGAGGGCGCGGAGGCGATGGAGGCGGAGGCGGAGGCGGAGCCCGATGCGGCGGCGGAGCCCGATGCGGCGGCGGAGGCGGCGGGGCAGCCGAGGCGGCCACCGAAGCGTCGTCGCACCTCGGCTGCGCAGGGCGCGGCGCAGCTGGCGGCGGGCTGCACGGAGCCCGAGGTGGAGGCGGAGGAGGCGGAGGCCGCAGGCTCAACCTCGTCGCCGCCTCCGACCGCACCGCCGACGCCAGGAGGGGCTGCACCCGTCGCCGCGCCGCTCGAGGCGGAGGCGGTCGTGGCGGAGGCGGAGGGGCTGAAGCTGCACCTCTCGAGCAGCGGCAGCACCGGCTACAGAGGAGTGCGCGAGCACTCTGGCCGCTTCCAGGTACGACGCGCGGCGAACGGAAAGATGGTCTCCATCGGCATCTTCGGCACGGCGGTGCAGGCGGCGGTGGCGTACGCGCGGGCGGTCGGCGAGTACCAGCCTCCGCCTCCTCCGACAGTGGCGACAGAGGCGGAGGGCTTGCGTTTGCACCTCTCGAGCAGCAGCAGCACCGGCTACAGATGCGTGTTCGCGGACAGGAGCCGCTTCAAGGCGCAGCGCAGGGCGGGTGGAAAGCAGGTCTCCCTCGGCTCCTTCGCCACGGCGGTGGAGGCGGCGGTGGCGTACGCGCGGGCGCAGGCGGGAAGGGCGGGAGGATCAGAGCGGACGACGACGGAGGCTGGGGCGGCGGAGGGCACGGAGGCCGAGGGGGTGGAGGAGGCGGAGGCCGCGGAGGCGGAGGGCTCAGCAGGCGCTACCTCGTCGCCGCCGTCAGAGGCGGAGGGGCTGCGTTTGCACCTCTCGAGCAGCAGCGTCACCGGCTACTTGGGTGTGCACGAGCACTATGGCCGCTTCCGGGCGCGCCCGAAAGCGGCCAGAGGGAGGGTCTCCATCGGCTACTTCGACACGGCGGTGGAGGCGGCGGTGGCGTACGCGCGGGCGGTCGGCGAGTACCAGCCTCCTGCTCATCCTCCTCCGACAGTGGCGGCAGAGGCGGAGGGGCTGCGGCTGCACCTCTCCAGCAGCAGCGTCACCGGCTACTTGGGTGTGCACGAGCACTATGGCCGCTTCCGGGCGCAGCACAGTGTGGCCGGAAGGACGGTCACCATCGGCTCCTTCGCCACGGCGGTGGAGGCGGCAGTGGCGTACGCGCGGGCGCAGGCGGGAAGGGCGGGAGGATCAGAGCGGACGGCGACGGAGGCTGGGGCGGCGGAGGGCACGGAGGCGGAGGAGGCGGAGGAGGCGGAATAGGCGGAGGCGGAGGGCTCAGCTGGCGCTACCTCGTCGCCGCCGACGCCAGGGGGGGCTGCACCCGTCGCCGCGCCGCTCGAGGCGGAGGCGGTCGTGGCGGATGAGTCGGCGGGCCCCGTCCGGCGAAGCAAGCGGAGCTTAGCGCAGGCGGGCATGAACGGTGCTGCGTCGTAGTTATCGTGCCGCCGGCACCGGTGCACTTCCCACTTGTGTGATTGGGACAACTCCAGCGTGTCTACACCGAGCGATTCTAAGATCAGGTCTGCCACCTCCCCGCTGGAAACGAAAATCTAAGTTTCAAATCTCGAATAAATCTCGAAGCACACTTGAATGCTCACTTGGCAGGTAACATATGCGCCACGCGCCCCAACCGCTCCTCTGGTCGCCGCCGGCCTCCGCGGCGGCGGCGATGTCCCAGCGCCACCCATCGGCCAGCCCTCAGATCGATCGATCGGCGCTCAAAGTCGGCTTCAGATCCGAGAACGCTGCTGGCGCCGCCGCCGATCCCAGCGGCGACGCCAGCAGCTTCCTCTGCTCTCCAATGCGCCGAGAAGCGACGCGGGGGTGCTCGGCCCGCCATGGACGACGAAGGTTCCGCCGGGCGCGCGTCAGCCGGTCCGGTGGCACCCTCTGCGCGCGGCACCTGCCGGCGCCCCGACGACAGCCGTCGCGCCACCGCTGATGGAGGGGCGGTCGGCGCCGCTGCCGCCGCGCCGCCGGTGGGAGGGGCACTGGTGGTGGCCTGGGCGGCCCTCCGCCGCCGCTCGGGGCGCCCGGGCAGCGGTGGCAGCCTGCCGCCGCACCACTTCGAAATGCCCGCTGACCACTTCGAAATGCCCGCTCCGGCGGCCCGCCACCGCGCTATTCTTTTTTCTACTAAGCAAAATTCGAGCCAATGGAGGAAACTCAAGCGGGCAGGCTGGAAGCACTGAGGGACGGCCGATTTTCGCCCAGTGGTAGACCTGATCTTAGAATCGCTCCACCGGTCGAGCGTACAGTGCGTGGGAAGCCACGGGGACGTCGGTCGTCGCCGGCGCGAAAAGCGCGCGAGTCGCCAAAAGAAAACAATAATCACTGGCATTCACGTCCGGGTGAGACGGCGTCGCGTCCTCGCGCCGCGGGTTCCGTTCGTCCTGCCCCACCTGGCCGCCCGCGGAGGCGCGGCGGCCGGCGCGGCGTCAGCGCACGCCGCACGGGTCTCGCGCAGCACCTCCAGCATGCGCGCCCGCTTCGCGGCCACGCCCGGCGGCGTGCAGTGCGCGTGGAAGAGGAAGACGTCGCACCACGGCGGGTTCTCCGGCGGGCCGAACCAGCAGTTGCCGGCGAAGGCGGGCCGCGGCAGCCGCTCGATCGGGTGGGCGCCGCCCTCGAGCGCGCCGTAGGCATACTCCTGGTCGAGCCGCGCGCCGCCCTCGGGCAGCCGGCCCGCGGAGAGGGCGGGCGGCATCGCGGCGAGGGCGTGGCGCGCGGCCGCCGCCGAGCAGCCGAGCAGCTGCCCCGAGTTGAGCGGGTTGGAGCCGGCGCCCTCCCACTGGTACATGAGGGCCGGGCCGCGCGCGGCGGCGGCAGCGGCGGCGTCGGCGGCGGTGCAGCGGCTGCTCGCGGCGAAGCGCCCGACGGCGGGCGCGGCGAACGGGTTGCGCAGCAGCAGCACGTCGGCGTCGACGTACAGCGCCACGCGCGCCTCCTCCAGCGCCGCGTGGAGCAGCGCCCACTTGGACCAGCACTTGAGGTGGTACAGCACCTCAGGCTCGGCGGCGCCCGGGCGGAGGAGGTCGAGCACCGCGCGCGGCGCCTGCACGCACGAGCCGTGCGCGTCGCTGTGGTTCCAGCACAGCGAGACGAGCCGCGCCGTCAGGCAGTCGAGCTCGCGCACGCGCGCGAACTGCAGCGGCCGCAGCGGCGCCTGCACGTCGTCGACCATGCTGAGGAGGACGGCGCCGTCCGGCACGCACGCGCTGCGCCGGCCGAGCGCTGCGCGCACCGCGCCGCGCAGCTCGGCGCGGAGCGGCGGTGGGACCAGCGGGTTGCGGTGCGCCGTCGTCGACGACGCCTCGAGGCGCCGGACGCCGTGGATCTAAAGGGGGAAGTAAAACCAACCTTATCCTGTATGTGTTCCATCGCGCTCAAGAGGTCTGAACAATAATGATCGGCCTTAGCCGTGCTTGCGTCCCAGAGTGCCCTCGCGCAGAACCAACGGAGCTCTCACAACTCATCAGCACTCCGTTCTCGTAAATCGGCCCTCAGTGCCGGCCGCGGGACCGGGAATGGCCGCGACGCTGACGGCCCGGAGGAGGAGAGACCTGCACTGCTCAGGACACTTGGCATGCGAGTCTGCGAGACTCACTCACACCGGACGCATGCGGGTGGCTTGCAGCGGGCGGCACAATGCGCGCGCTGACGGAAGATGAGATCTGGCACGACCCGTGGGAAGAAGCAGCTGCTGAAGGTGCCGTGCGGCGGTGGATCGAGGAGAAGAAGCATCGGTCGTCAACTACACTACGCATAACCAGCACATCCTCCGCAATCCCTCTCTCCTCTTTCCAATGGCAGCTTCTCGCACGGCGCAAATGCCCGACAGCTTGCTCGGATGGGGACAGCGGACTGGCTGGCGTCTTGGACGTGTGAGGCAGCCCTTACGCATGTATGACGTTATAATTTTGCTGAAAACCTCAACCTTCACATGTGGCGACGCTCCCGACTGACCCCCCATCACATTCTCGTTTGCTTGCCTTCTCTCTCGGCACACATGTCGGCACTCTTATCACTTTCAGCACAATCATTGCAGTTGTCCTGTACTCCTAGAGCAGTGTCGAGCTCTCGAGTCTCGAGCACGCCAAAACTCTAAGTGCCTGGTGCGCACTGTGAGCGCAGCGCTCTTCAGCTCAGGCACAGACGTGGTGGTGTTTGTGGAGCCGCGCGAGCAGCGCGGCCTGCACCGTCCTGGACGGCATTTCCAGGCATCTAAGTGATGACCACCATCTCCGGCCAGCCGGCTCGATCAGGTTGTGAGGGTGGCAGATTGTGAGAGTCCTGTCCTTTCCCTGAGCGCCATGAGTTCAGAGTGCACGCATTGCGCCAGCCTTCCCACGTGCGCAAAAGGACTGAGGTTGACCGTACCCCGCTCCGTTCATAATGGTGTACCCGCGGAATCCCTGCTCGTGAGCGGGGGTTTCACTGCTCTGGTACTTGTTTTGCGCCTGCGCTCGAGCCCCTGCGAGGTACGGAGGCACGCCATGAGCAGCATTCAGAGCACAATGCGCACGTGCACGAGGGGAGCGTCAGGGGCAGGGGTGTCCGTGCCTGCAGCGCGAGGCATCCCGAACAGCAGAGCTCCATCATGCCACCTTGAAAGAGCTTGTAGATTGCGCCTTGCTGGAACGCGTGCTGCACCTCAAAGAACTTGGCGCTCTTTGCGGACGTTGAGCGTGAGTGCCATCGGCGACTCGCCTGGGGCCGGCATGTCCCTGAATCTATCGGCGCCCGGCTCGGACCGCTTCTGGGACCCTCCCAGCCACGCTGGACGGCCCTGCGGCACGTCTTGCCCGGGCCTGAACCGAGTGGATGGATGGTTCAGATTCGAGGCGAGGGCTGTGAGGTTCTGATGAGTTGTGAGTTCCGCCGTTCTGTACATTCCTATTCGTCGGCATGCCAAAGCGTGCCAGCCAAGTAGTTAGGTGCCCCATCACAAGTTCGGCTGTCGACAAGAGACAACGTGAGCTTGCTCGTCACCCTGAGCGTGTGTCCCTCCTCATCGCTCACTCTGCGGCTTTGCGGTCTTGGCCTGGAACTGAGCACTACACCTGTGCCTAGCTCTGCGGTGCATGTCGGCTCGCGCCGCCACTTTCCTGAGCCGCCACTTTCCTGCCACGAGGCCGACCCACTTCCTCGCACTGCGGCTCGGCGACCCGCGGCTGCACGAGCGCGTGCGGCAGCTCCAGGCCCAGGTGGTGGCGAGGGAGCCGACGCTCGAGCCGTGCGCGGTGCCGCCCGAGCGGTCGCACCTCACGGTGCTCGTCTTCCACGCGGCGGACGATGCTGACGTCCAGCGTGCGAGGGATGCGCTTCGAGACTGCGCACCGCTGGCGCAGCGGGCGTTTGGCCAGGCGCCACCCGCGCTGAGTTTTTCTGGCCTCGGCAGCTTTGGCCAGAATGTGCTCTTCGCCAGGGTTGGCCCAGCAAACGCAGACCTGGAGGCACTCAGTCGCTTCGTCGAAGACGTCCGCCAGTTGTATGAGCACAGAGAGCTCATCCCTCCGAGTCCCGGCGAGGGCCCTGCATGGGTGCCACACGTGACACTGCTCAAAACTTCGCGCGCCTCCTCCCCGAAAAAGCGCCGGCGAGGAGGCGGGGCTGGCCGGCTGCGGATTCGGCCCGAATCGTACGAGGGCCTTTGCGCAGACCTCGGCTCGCACGCGCTGCCGTCGCTCGAGCTTTGCGCGATGCGGGGAGGCGGCGCGGATAGCGGCTATTATCCGGTGCTGGCTGAGCTGCCCCTAGGCCAACTGCCTCTGGGGGTTTAGGGGATGGAGTTAGAGTGAACACGTCTAGTCCTCCAGCTCCACAAAAAATAAAGAGCAGAGTCCACTATCTAACTGTCTTATCTACGACGAGAGTGGAATTGAGATGAGCGACCGTTCCGTTGGTAAAACCCGCCCGTCCAGCTCTGGACTGCGGGCTGCGGGGTCTTCTACATCTCACTCTGGCTGCGCAGGCCGAGGCGGCACTGGCGGCGGTGGCATATCTCCCGGCGGCGGCGCCCGCTCCGGAGCCTCCTCCCGAAACCGCCTCCTCTCCGACCGGGGGCGCGGTGCCGGCGCCGGCGCCGGCGCCGGCGCCTCCTCCGGCACACGAGAGGCGTCGTCCTCCTGCCCGGCCAGCTCGGAGGCGGGAGGCGGGAAGAAGACGCGGCCGATGCCTCCGGGCGCGGCAGAGAAGCCGCCTCCCTCTGGCGCGACGGGGAGCGCGCCGCGCACAGGGGCGGGAGGCGCAGAGGAGACGGGCAGGGAGGAGACGGGCAGCATGCCGGAGGAGGCGGGCAGCATGCCGCCGCCGCTGGGCGGGTAGAAGATGCGCCCGCCGCCGCCGGTGCTGACAAAGGACCCGCCCGGCTGGGCCGCATGCTGCGCGGCGGCCGCGGCGGCCGCGGCGGCCGCGGCGGCCGCGGCGGCGATAGCCGGCTTGGCCTGGAGCGACGCAACACGCTGCGCGACCGTCCGGTGCATTGCGACCCGCTCCCCGTACAGCGCATGCATCTTCGATCCCGGCTCAAAGATTGGCGCAAAAGTGGGGTTGACACGGAGGTTGGCCTCGGCAGCGGTGCCGCCTCGCGCGACGGCGGTTGCCGCCGCCTCCACGAGCTGAATCTCGACGGCGGTCAGAGGCCGGCCTTCCGATGGCGGTGCGTCGGCAGGCGCCCAGCGGCTGCGTGGGGCGGCCTCGGCATCCGGCGCGGCGGCATCGGCGGTGGTGCCGGCCTCTGCCGACACCGGCTCGTCCCATTTTCGACGCTTGCGTGGCTTGTCGGCGGCCGACAGCTCGTCCGGGTCGCTCATTGCCGCGGCGGAGTCCCGTGCGAGCGGCAACAGCGCGGAGAGAGGAGCGCGCGCCACGTGTTTCTTTCTGGTTGGACGACCTCCGGTGACGACCGCCGACTCGTCCCGCCGCACCTGCTCCGCGGGCTTGGATCTATGCTGGAGAGAAAAATAAAGCAGAAGCTCTTGACGTCTGATTTGCGCTTGCTTTGCTTTGTTGCCACCACCCGTCGCCCGTCACCCAAAGATATTACTCCCTCAAATGGAAATCGATGGAAAAGAAATCGAGCATCACTCTGTCATGCCGGCGCGCTTGCTACAGACGCGTGGGTGTGCCGCCCTCCTCTTGGCGCTCATCGCCGCCGCGAGGGGCTTGCCAGTCGCGTCCGCCGCACTTCGCACGGGCAGCGCGGCGCAGCCGCAGCCGTCACCCGGCCCATCCAGCGGCACCGCAACGCCGTTTGCGGCAGCCGTTGATTCGGGAATTGATGCCGGGCTCGCAGAGGTTCAGATGGAGGCTCCTGCAGCAGCGAAACTGCCGCCGGAGTCTGTCGCTGCGGCAGCAGCAGTGAGCGCAGTGACTGCGACTGAGGCGGGTGCGACAGAGGTGGATGCGACCGGGGCAGTGGATGCGGCGGCAGCGGCACGGGATGTGGCGAATGCGACGGGCGCTGTGGCGGTCGGCACGCCGGCGGTAGATGCGGCGGGGACCGGCGCGGTGGAGGTCGAGGCGGTGCCTGCAGTAGAGGAGCCGTCGGCAGAGGCGGCAGCGGTGGAGGCGGCAGCAGTGGAGGCGGCAGCGGTGGAGGCGACGCCGGTGGGGGCTGTTCCGCTGGGGGCTGTGAAGACCGAAGCGGTCGATGTGACGGAGACGACGGCCGACGTGGCTGCGCCTGAGCTGCCGCTGCCTCCTCCGCTCTCGCCTCCTCCCCGCCCTCTGCCCTCTCTGGTCGCGCCGGCGAGCGTGCAGTACTCTGTGACGGTGCCCAAGGGAATCAGCAGCGGACAGCGGCTCAAGGCGCGCCGTCCGCCGTGCAAATACGCCGCCGCTCCCCTCGCCCCTCCCGACTGCCGCCCCCAGCGCCGCCCCTCCACTACCGCCCTCCACCCCGCCCCTCCTCCGGAGCCCCCCCCCCCCCCCCACCCTCACCCCCACCCCGCCCCTCACCCCGCCCCTCACCCCGCCCCTCACCCCGCCCCTCACCCCGCCCCTCACCCCGCCCCTCTCCCAGGTGCCCCTCCCCGGCGGCGACTTCCTCTTCGCCACCGTCCCAGACGGGCTGGCGGAGG